ACAACAACAACAAAACAGAAGAATTTATATCATAAAATAAATGAGACCACTGGAACACTGGAACAAATACAGTTTAGGAAAATATGATTGAAAATACTGTCCAAAGCCACAGTTTTCTTTCTGAAGCCTCCTCTAAACTCCATAAGGATTTCTATATGCACTTTGAAAGCATTTGCTTCCTCAACACTTTTGTAACGGTCTAAAGCGTACAAATAATACCAACAGACTTGAGGAGACTTTTCTAACGACTTGTTTGTGGGTGAATCCAGAGGCAGCTTTGAAGGTGCAGAAGTTCAGGGCAGGAAACACAACCTCTTATCAGCAAATGCAACCCCCAAATTTCCTGCAGCTGTGAGAAGTGTTTCATAGGTGAGTGGGGTGCGATTTCCAGCATTATGAGTACTACAGATATGGCAGAGGAGGGTCTCTGCACTGTCGCTGTTGCTAGTTTCAGATAAARGCAGAAAACTTGCAGTTGTTGCCTTTTGCTCACACCGCTTGCAGTCTTTGCTGTTTATCTGCAAAAATCAGCTCCTGCTGAATGAGTAGTAGAAATGTAACGCTGTTCATCAACACGTCTGCTGAAAAACATGGAGCTATAGCTTTCAGGRCTATTAGTCTTTTAAAATGAAGTATTATAACTAGTGGTTTTGATTCCAGACTTAGTCTTTTCTTTGCTCGGTTCATTTAATGGATGGTTTTCAGAAGTGTATGTTTCTTTGCATAMCTCCATGCATACATACAACTAACCTTTCTTGCATCATAAACTGAAGATCTTTTTGGGAAAGTGAACAGAGTGCATAGATTATTTTTGTATTTATATCTTTATCTTTATCTTTATTTTTATTTTTTCCTCCTGGATCTGTCTTTCTATTCCCTTTYGATTGCTAGGAAAGGGAGCCTTTTACCCCTTACCTAATACTTATTTCAGTATCGGCCAATATACTTCCAGATTTTTCTTCAAGACTGCAGGATGATGCTGATCATTTCTTTTTCCTGCAGCATCACATCTCATCAGTCAGTCTGGGTATTTTAAAGTCCATATCCTTAAAACAATCGCTGTGCCTCTACATTTGTTGATACTTGTTGCTATGCTTTCTCATGACAGAGAAAATCCTTTTTGCATGCACTAAAAGCACCCTTGTCCTGCATGGGTATGCCACGTATGCWACCTYTCCTTTTGTTCTGAAGTTTTCAGTATTTTTTTGTGTCCTCRATGAGCTAGGCATTGAAAATAAAACCTGCACGTAATACTGCTCCGTGCTAWCCATATGCCATACCTCCAATCTTTATTTATCATAGTTAAAAATTTATCATTGACCCTTTTGCCATCTTAAGCTTAYGCTTACAGCTTTTGAGGGACTCATGTGAATAATGCATCTTAATAATGGAGGGGTATATGGAAAAGCTCAAAGCTACAAAACCCTTAACACAGAAAGCTAGAGGAAGGAAGGCTTCTTATCCTGCACATCGCCAAAAAGGTTGTGGTTAATGTCTTTCTCTGCTTTGGCAGGCGCTTCCTGATTAAAAGGGTAATCCTTCCTGGAAGGATGAGCAAATGGAAAGTTCATCTGCGAGGGAAAAGAAAGGGCACCATGTTTGATACGCTATAGACCATCGAGCAGAACCACAAAGCCATCCAACATAGAGAGACAGAAGACTTCTCTGTCTCTTTTTCTGAAAAATGTTACATGGATTGACCCGCTGTCCTTCATTGTTTCTGAAGATTTGGAGAGCCAGCTTGAGATAACCACAAACAAGAACCAAATTGTTCATTACAAATTTGGATAAAAACTTATTTCAGCTTTGCATCATACATTACTGATAGAAATAATGTAGCTACTTTGGTCATGAGGAACCGCAATAGTGTCGACCTTGTAGGAATGTTCTCTCTTTCATTTGGAAAAAAAGAGGGAGAGAGAGAGAGAGGAAAGTGTATATCAATGTTATCAACAGTACCTCCTTTCAATCATGCCCCGAGAAAAAGATAAAACACCACCTAGACAATGCTATGTCAGCTTTGATTAAAATACAAACTGAGGACTCCCCAAGATTGTGGTCCTGCTAATTCCAYGCACTTGCTTATGTGTCTGCACCAATTACTACTCCACTGATAGTAAATCTCATATTACAGCATCAAGCATCATTCAGAAGAGTTAATTCTATGTGTCCGAATGCCAGAGCTAAAGAGAAAGACATGCTGTTAAATACACGATAAAACGTCCAAACCTATAAAGTGAAATAATGGCCTGTGATACGTTTTAGAATGTGTGTTCRACTTTAATAATAATTATTGTTTATCAATATTTCTATAGTGTCTCTAATGAGTTTCTCAGTAAGTAACTTGAAACACCATAAAACCCCTTCTTCTCCATTGGATTTTCAAATGTGCTGTTTTCCAGACGCTTCCATTTGGAAGCAAACAGAGCCTGACACTGAGAATGGAAGTGGCAGTGGGGATTCAGCAACTCTGGATTCTGTTTCCAGCCCAGCCATGCTACACATAAGCAGTAGGGCATGTGGCTCCAAGCAAACCAYCAGCCTTCCTACCCCAAAGTCTTCAGTCAACACCTAACTCAGAGATGTTGTGAGCATCAGTTAACTTGCAGAGTATCTGGAGAGCTGCAGCTTGAGCTGAACAAGCACAGAGCATTCACATTCTGTTTAACATGTGAGTTTCCTGACAGTCATACTAAAATTACCTTTTTTCTGAGACATCAAAGTGTGTTGGTGGAAATGTGTTTGASTCCCAAACGTCAAAATGTACCTTCCTGCTTCCGTAATTTTATAGTTTATGAGAAAGCTGATCCTYGGTATCTTACCTGTCAGTAATTGATAGGCTTCTCAACATACTGAGGGAATGGAGAGAGATGTGTTAGTGAAGATTTCAGATATATCTGTGCTGCCTTGTGTGGATTGCCAGAGAGGAGAAACAGGAATGTATTCCTAAGAAGAGAGATAAGTCCTCAGCAATTATATTGAGACTTTTCTAAATATCTGAACAGTCAATCATCCATGGAAGCAGGAGCAAGCAAATTGGTGGCTTGATGGTATGGAAGAATCCCCTTATAACTGATGGAAAATCATTAATAACATGGGAATCAATTTCTGCTTCTCCTCTCTGCTCCATCAGCAATATCGTAGCAGAGAACTGGGAAAGTGTGAAGCCAGTAGCTGAAAGTTGATTTCTTAAGAAACAAGTTAATTTTTTTTTTCTGAAGTTAAACTGAATAGTACTGTGGCCCAAATTGCCCAGCGAGAGAGCCTTTTTGGAACAAGAAACCACAGTGGGCAAAGTTTTCCAGGCACAAAAGTACAAGGGTGAAGAGTAAAGTCAGGAAAAATAAAATAGTGTTAGAAAACAAAGGAAACTTCTCGACTATGAAGGCCCAAGCATGATATTCCTTTCTAAGATTTTAAAAGTAGAATATTTTTGAAGTCATTTTTTTAAGAATAAGCAATAAAATAACATTATATTTACATTATTCCTATRTAATTAAGGCAAATCTGTGAGAGAAAAACCTAGCAAAAAGAAGATAAAACTTAGAAGTAAAACTTAGTGTGTATGACTGGAAGACAGCAAACAGCGTTCTGGAAATGAATGTTCCTGTGTGTGTGTGTAATCCTACCAATAGGTCAGAAGGTGTTTTTCCCTTGTGGCATTTCGGTTTGGCAGAACTAAATGTCTGTTGGCTTTTGCTGTRAATTTCAAATTTCAATTCAATCTAAATAAATTTCCTGGATATGTTTTTGGATATGTTCTCTGGATATTTTCTACTGTGACAAACAAAATATTCTTGTGATGTTTTTACTCAAGCAACTAGAGCTATGTTCAGAGCCTTAATTTCAGTTTAACATAGCTGTTTGGCAGTCTTTTTATTACATTCACATATCAGATTTGAGAACATCTGGCAGACATGCTCACACTCCTAATTCACTACAGCTGTTTACCSTTAGAGTCACCTCCTGTCACCTGTCAAAAGTAGTTCCAAAATAGTAGGTAGTTCTCGTGCCTACTTTGTATCCACCTTATGGAGGTGAGTAGTGAGGAAAACAAGTGAAAAATCAGGTTATACAACTTCAGTTTTAAATGTGTTAATTAGCTTAAAGCCTTAGTTTACTTGTGATTGCTAGGGCATTAGAATCCCCGACTGTTGTTTTGCTCCTTCCTGTCGACATGTTTCATTATACATTTTCCAGACACCTCCTTGTGCCCATTCCAATCAGTCCTCAAGTTTAATTATCATAAATCAGAAATGAAGCAGATTGTTCATGTTGATTCCAACATCCTTGGTGATAKAAGTATTATTTTTGTACTTCTAAAATGTAAGCATCTTGAAATGCAYAGGAATGGGGCAGATAGCTTGATTTTCCTAAATCTGTATCAGCAGGAGGTGGAACCTGCTGCRCATCCTTGAGGGAAATTCAAAGCATTTCAAATTGCATGAAAAAGTTAACTTTGGAAGTTAAAATGCGAAGCCGTCAGTCTTGAGGGCCTCCTTTTGGTTTCTTTTATTAAGATGCTGACTTCAGGAGAGCTCTACTAGATTTATTGAAGCCTAACTATGAAGAGAACCGCGATCCTGTAACTATCCAACACAGATCAATTAAAAAAAGTCAGTATTAGGACTGAGGACAGATTAGCAAGGGGAGGGTTAACCATTTCCCTGCGCTTTCCAAGCCCTTGCACATGGTGTATGTTACATGTTACCAAGTSGGGGGAGACCTTTGTAACGTGCCATGCAGCTCAGTCCCCACATCAGCACCGCGAATACACCGTTGCTTGATCGAATCTGTGTTTAGCTTTCAGTGTGCTAGCCTAAAGGTTATCGCTAACGCTATTGGGCTGCAGTATTAGGTATGAACCTGACCGTCCCGTGCTGCAGCTCGGTGCAATTTTAGGGTTGTGTGTACAGTGTGTCCAACATGGACAGTCTGGCACTGCAGCTTACTCTGGGTGCAGGCACTTTGCTTTGACACGCTATGGGATTTCATTAAAGCTGGAGGCCCTTGCGCTATCACTGCGTGCATGATAAAAACGGGCGAGTTTTAAATCCACCCCCCACCATTGAGCCCGTGACGTCGCCAGGTGAACCCCGCGGCGTGACGTCATCAGGCGCCCGCCAGCGGTGGGCGGGGGACGCAGGCCTACGTTTCCCGGCAGCCCGCGCGGCGCCGGCGGAAGTGACGTGCGGCGGTGTCCGCGGAGCGCGGCAGGAGCGGCGGCCGCGGCGTTCGGGCCCGAGCGCAGGCGGC